AAAAAAAAAAAAAAAAAAAAAAAAAAAGGAAAAAAAAAAGTTTACTGGCAAGAAATCAGGTGACATAGGACCTAACAATTTGAGTTCAGTACCCCAGGGATGGACAAGTAGTCCCAGGTCCTCAGAAGATTCTCCAGTTAACGTAGCTCCAGAATGAGATCTCAATGTTCCCTTGCAAAGATCCCCACTCAGCGATACAGTCATAGGTGAGAGTTTTGTTTTTCCCACTTGCCAGATGACAGGAGCTGCTATTTGCTTGACTCCTGAATGAGGCTGTGCAGGTGGATCTCCGCAGTCTTCTGTGGCAAATGGACCCCCTGCATCCACGAATGGTTTAGAATGTCTTCGAAAGATGGCCTGTCTGAGGGTCTCAAGGCCAAACACCATTTAATGAGATGCTGGCACTCTGGGGAAAGAAAATACAAGCAAGCTGTCAGCAGGTGGCCACTATTCACTAGTGTCTGTAAACTCTCCAAGCCTCCCTCTTTACCTCTGCATTGGGATCTGCCCTCTTACTTCATAGGACAGAATACCCAGGCCTGGTTTAAGCTGCTCTTATCTATGTGCTACCATAGTGGAGACTCAGATAACAGACATGGATACATGCAAGTCTATTAGCACCCACCTAACCCTGACATTTATACTCTTTCGTCTTATAACAAAATCAGCACATCCTCCCCTGGGGAATGTATTAAGATACAGAGTGATTCAATTCAGCATCTTTGGGCTATGTATGCTTTCTGAAAGCCTGCTGAGCAGTCCACTGCCCATAGCCACATTAATTGGGCCAGCAAGTGGTAAGAAAGTTGAGTGCTGGAGAGGCTTAAGTGAATTATGACACTGAAGCAGCTGTCCAAAGCTGAGAAAGCAGCAAGGCTCCCAGCACTCTGTGGGGAATCAATACTTCTGCACAGCCCCCTGAAGGCATGAAGGGATGCATATTTATGGCATCACAGATCATCCCTGAGTGACTGCTGCATGCAGGGTAAGCAGCTGGCTTCCCTCCCCTAGCACAGTGGGGAGCACTCACCTGGTGAAATCCTTTGCCGGAAGTAAACCTGGCCCCTCACAATCTCCTCATCATGTTCAAAAGGGATGTCCCCACAGACCATGTCGTAAAGCAGGACGCCCAGTGACCAAACTGCGGCTGATCTGCCATGGTACCTGTGGTAGCGAATCCATTCTGGGGGGCTGTACACTCTTGTGCCTGCAAGACAAGAGCAAAAACTTGCCATAAGGAAAGTGTTCAGTCTAAGCCTAGGGATCAGAACAAAACAGGAATGATCAAAAGCCAACTGAATTGATCAATGGCATGCATGTGGCTTCAAGAGAGCAAGTCAGGTAGCTGAAACTCCAGGCTTTAGGTTGCAATAACTCAAGTGTGAAGCTTCAGTACAGGCAGTTTGACAGTGCAAAGCTCCTGGTGACTGCAGGCTGTGCCTAGGAACATGACCCTGAAGCAAAGCAAGACCAAACAAAACACAAGCAGTAACCACGCTTTCCAGCTTTAATGAACTTGAGACCCTTAAGTGCCTCTCCTGAAGCCAGACTGCCAATGCTTCAGTCCAGTCACCCAGCATCCAAGGGTTGAGACCTCATCTACTGCATCAAAAAACGGATCCAGGCAACCTTTCAATCAATTCTCCATAAAAGGCTCTGCTGGGCAAATATGGCAATATCATTTACATCCCAGAGAGGAGGAGGCCTGCTAGACTTTATAGCAGCCTATCCCAAAAAAGGGAATACAGTCAGCCGCACGTGAGGCCAGCCCACTCCTAAGTGATGAAGTAACGTTTGTTGTTCAACATCAAGGGAGCAGTTTCGCCCCAGCAGGCGAGCAGTTTGTATAGTTGTGCATGTGGTAATTAGAGCTGGGCTCGAATTCCAGCCTGCTTTGCTACTGCAGAGGCTTACACCCTTCGCCTTTTGTTGCATTTGATCTCTTCCCTTCTGGCAGGAAGAGGAGACTGAGGTCAGAGCTGCTAGTCTGGTTTCTGGCCACGTGACTCTTGTTTACAAACTTTCGGTTGTAAAAAGATCCCCGGTGCCCCGCCAGGGGGCATCACCAGCTCGAGAAATTCCGCGGGAGGAAGAACCCAGCCCTGGTCATTAACCGTTACATTAAAAACAAAAAATGCAGCACAGGCCAAGCCATTTGAAGAGGCAGAAGCAAAACAAACCCCAGGCAACACGCGGGGGTTTTGCAGATCAACCGCCCTCTGCCGAAGAAGCCAGAATACACGGTGGAATAATTTCCTACGTCACCCACCCGGCAAGCCCGAGCCCAAGCTCAAAGGTCAAATGCTTTTCCCCATGAGCCACGCTTCCCCCCACCCAATACGAAAAGGGCAAAGGCCCGGGTGCCTTTCTGCGGCAGAAAGGGAGCTGGCTGTAAGCAGATCTCCCTCAGCTCCAATTTCACAACATTCATCCCCGACAAAAAGCAACTTTCCAGCAAAATGAATAATTTAGCGAGATGGCGGACGCAGCAGCTTCCTTCTCCTTGTGGCCCCCCTCCCCATATTGAAGGCCATCCATCACTGGAAGGAAACAGCACGAGAGCCCTTTCTCTCTCTCTCAAGCCTGGGAGAGGAAAAACAATATCCTCTCCCTCGCTTTCTAGCTGCCAGATGAGGTTAGGCTCTGAATCGGAGCAGCATGGCTGCAGACAGGCTTTCGCTCAATCTTTCCCCAACCTACGCTACAGGAGAGATGGACCCGGGGGTGGGAGGGTGGGAAATGGGTCCATCAGAACCAAACCGAGCCCCAGACTTCAACTTTCTCCATCCTCAGGGCTCACAGAGGCAGCAGCCTGCCAGCGAGTTCAGCCTGGTCTCTGCCATGTTGCCCAAGGAGACGCAGCCCCTGTGTGACAGGCAGCCGCCACCGATGTCTGGCATGACGCCCTAGCGAGAAATGTTATGTGGGGACAGGGCAGGGAGACGAGCCCGAGAGGTCTTGGAGAGGCGACGCTTCCAGCAAAATAGATTTAGCCGATAACCACGCCAGCACGGAGAGAGCAAGCTCATTCCCCGGCTGGGAAATTACTGACTAGGCAGGGGGAGGGAACAACCCATTTCTAAGAGGAATTTCCCCGGCTTCCTCTCTACGCAGGTAAAACATGAGGGGGATGGAAAGAGTCGCTCACCGTCGAAATCAGTGTACACCGTGTCCTTGAGCAAGGCTCCGGACCCAAAATCGATCAGCTTCAGTTCTCCGCTGTTCAGGTCAATGAGGATGTTCTCGTCCTTGATATCCCGGTGCAGGACCCCGCAGCTGTGACAGTGCCGGACAGCCTCCAGGACCTGGCGGAAGAAGCCGCGGGCCAGCTCCTCGGCCAGGGCCCCCCGCTCCGTGATGAAGTCGAACAGATCCTGCACAGGGTCGGGCCGCTCCAGCACCAAGACGAAGCTGTCAGGCCTCTCGAACCAGTCCAGGAGCCGGATCACACCGCGGAAGCCGGAGCCCACCTTCTTCAGCAGCAGGATTTCCATGGGGACGCGGGTGCCGCCAGGCTAGCACAGAGAGCAGAGAGCTCGTCAGCACGGGCAGAAGGGCTCAGCGGCCGGCACCGTGCCAGGCCGTGCCGGGGTGCTGGGCGCCCTCGTCTCCCCCACTTACCAGCTCTCCCCAGTCCGAGATGCGGTCCCGGGCCACGTGCTTGATGGCAACCTGCAACCCAAACACAGCCATGCGTCAGACAGAGCCGGCCGGGGGCAAGCGGGAGGCGTGGAGGGGGGCACAGGCGGGGAGCACTCACCGGGGCGCTGTCGGACAGGCGGGTGCCTGAGTAGACAGAGCCGAAGCCACCGCTGCCCAGCAGCGAGCCCACCTGGTACAGCTTCTCCAGAGGCTCCTTCTCCTTCCCTGCGGGCCAGGGCACAAGCAGGGTCAGTGCCAGCCGGACCCTGCCCATCCAGATCAACCCCATACACGCGACTGAACCCCCCCGAGACCCCATCTGCATTACCCCCCC